AAGAAACTCCAGTCATTTATGAGGTAATTGTGGATAGTCTTAGTGAAGGAGAAACCAATGGAGGGGAAAAAGGAGATAACAGAGATTATGTGAACGAAGCTAAATTATTAGGATCTTTTGATTCCCAGACAGCATCACGAGCAGTTGACTATATTGCTTCAATTAACAACAATGTAAAGCCTAGAGAATTATGTCAGAATTAGCTGAGGTAAAGTTTTTAAAGCCTACAATAACACCTCTCCCTAAAAAGTGGTTTAACTCACTCTCCCCAGACTTAAGTCAAAATGATGAAAGTTTGTGCTGGGAATTTTCTTGGCAATACCCAGACATGACTAGTCCCACAGCCCAGGTTTGACCAGGGTGACACGCTTTGGGCTCTTTCTCAAAAATTAAGACAAGTTTGGAGAAGGTAATTTTGCTGATCTCAATTCCCACTGGAAGCAACGGTATGGACCACTGAAAAGCTAAAAATGAGCATATTTTCTTTTTCTTGATTGCAAAGAGAACTCAGTTGGTATGTGTGATTTTTAGAAACTTCCTGGAAAGGGACACAACCAGGGCCAACATTTTCAAACTTGGATGCTTAACATTAGGTTCCTAAATCCACATGCAGGCACCAAAATAGAAATGGGACAGGTTTTCAGAGGTGCCGAGCAGCCCTAGCTCCTACTGACTTTGGTGGCATTTGTGAGAGTAGAACAATTCTGAAAATGAGGCCATTTATATATCTGATGCCTCAATATGGAGTTAAGCACCTAATTCTAGGCTCTCACTTTTGAAAATCTTGGCCAGAATTCTTTATGAAATCTGTGTCAATACAGAGCTCCACTTGTGAAATGGAAGGTAAACTGATGCAGTGGATGGACCTTAAGCCAGACTGAGTGAGTCCTCCATATGTGACTTACAAACATACACAGAGATATGTTCCCTGCTCCAAATGGCTTATAAGATAAGACAAAAAGTTCATCAGGAGGAGGTGCCAAGTTTTGGAGACTAGAAGAAGGTAGGGAGTATCCCTGGAAGAAGTGGGTTTCACAGAGGAATTTGAAGGAATCAAGAGAGGCTGTCTGTCAACGCATGAGACAACCTGCTAGAACAGTGGTCTCCAAACTTTTTTGATCACGCACCCCTATCAGTAAAAAATTTTTTGAATATGCACCCCCTGCTGCACCGGCTCTACCATTTTTGGCAAAGCGCCCCCCCCAAAAAAGCCGCTCGGACTCCCGCCTGACAAAGCAAAGGAAAAAAAAAGACTCTCCTCCTGCACACCAGCAGAATAGACCGAATTGGATGCAGTAAGTGACAGGAAGCCAGCTGGTGGATACAAGGAGAGTTGCGAGAGGAAGGTGACATGAGCAGCAAAATTTGGTCCAAGTGAAGGAGGAAAAGTAAAAGGAGGAGCGAATTGTCTCAAGTTTCTGTGCTTAAATTGTGGTCAAGCAGTGGGAGTAGTAAGGAAACATGGATTTTGGTTATGAGAAAAAGAAAGAAGCAATAGGACTTATTAGCAAGAAACAAGATCTGGGGAGAGGGGAAGCTAAAGAGTCAAATATAATACCGAAACTGTAAGTCTGGGGGACAGGAAGACCGGTAGAACTGCCAATGGATCCAAACAAAGGAACAGAATGAAGAGGGATCAGAAGGAAACATAAGGAATTCTTTTTTAGAATGACTGTTTTTGAGATGGTGGCAGAACATGCAAGAGGATCATCTATGAAAAACCAGAGGCCGGTGCTGTGGTTCAGTGCTGTGTTTTTTGTTCTGTTTTTTGTCATTTTATGTGTGCATGTTGCACCATTCTGTGCTCTACATCTTCAGAGATTTATACATTTTTTGATTCAGTCTCACCTCCTGCATAATACAGGCCACAGAAATTCACCCAGTAATTTCTGCACCAAGGACTGAATTTTCAAAGGTATTTAGGTGCATAAAAATGCAGACAGGTGCTTTTGAAAATCCCACTAAGCAAGTTAGGTGCTTGACTCCCACTGATATTAATAGGAGTCAGACATCTAACCTGCTAAGGTACTTTTGAAAATTGGGCCTAAACCTATAACATTTGATAACACATTTGCTTGTGAATAGACTGGGGATGAAATAGCATAAGGAGCTAGAGTCCTGTCTTTTAGCCCCTTAACTATGCTCAGGATGAAGCTGTATTGTGCACAAAAAAGCTGGTAGATATAGTAGTATTAGTTTTGCCAGTGTCTGAAAAATTGTTTTCAGCCAACACAACCATTCTGACAGAGGCTGAGCAACGAACAGACTTTGAGAATTCACTTATTCCTTGTCAACTGAGTTCAGTTCTGTCTTTGAACTTCATAACTAATCCTGTTTATTTGTATTCCATATTCCAGCAGTCCTGACTGAGCTTCTCCACAGACCTCTTTCTATCTACTCCTTGCTAAGGAAAACAGTCTACTATATAATTACTGAAGAAAATCTTTTCACACAGACTTCTTCACTTCGCTAAGTCAGCCCACATTTACTTTTGATCTGATGAATCACCAGATGCAACGGGCAGAACCAGATATGGATTACATTCCCCCACGGGTCAAGCTAAGTGATGAAACATTTGTTTTTGTAGATGGCAAATGGGTGAGTGAGACCTATAATCAGCCACCTTTTGCTTCCCAACAAAAACATTACAACAAGAAGATGCAGAATGACTGGACTCTCTGGGAGGAGAACAAAGCACTCTGGGAAGAGAACAAGGCCCTCCGGATTGAAAACAAGGCCCTCCGGGAAGAGAACAAAACTCTCCAGTGCCTCCGGACACAGAACAAAGCCATCCAGGTTATTTATGATGAGACCCTCCAGCAGGTTCTCCAGAAGGAGAACAAGCCCTTCCCAATCTTCCGAGAAAGGAACATAGGCTTCCAGGTCAGACAAGAGAACAAGGCCCTTCAGGTTGTTCAGGAAAAGAATATGGCTTTACAGGTACTCCAGGAGGAGACCCAAGCTGTCCCAGTCTTCCAGAAGGAGACCCAAGCTGTCCCAGTCTTCCCGAAAGAGACCAAAGCCACCCCAATCGAGGAGGAGAGCAAGGATGATGTCCCTGCCTTCCAGGAGGACAGCAAAGCCAACCCAATCCAAGATGAGAGCAAGGCTGGCTCAGCCCTCCAGAAAAAGAGTAATTCTGTCCAGGACATCTGGGAAGAAAGCAAAGCTGTCCCAGTTCAGGAGGAGAACAAGGCTTCCCCAGGCATCCAGGAGGAAAATGTGGCTCTACAGGCTGTCCAGAAGCTAAACCAAACCCTCCAGGCCCTGCTAAAAGAGAACCAGACTCTTCTGGAAGAGAAAAAGGCAATCCAGGTTCTTCAGGAAGAGAACAAAGTCTTCTGGGAAGAAAACAATACGATGAAGCTGCAGCTAACTGTAGTGAAAGGAACAGTGTCAGAGATTATGGCCCGGATGGAAATACTGCAAAAGGAGCTCAATGCCCTTTCTCTTGTGCAGTGTAATGAGATGAGGAAGCCAGACAGGGGCTGGTAAATGAGTATCCACAAGCAGAAATGTGCAGCTTGGCGCTAAAGTCCTGCTAGATCACATTTGATGAAAAAGCTCTCTCCGTGTTTCTAATAAAGTCCTGGTGGAGAGTCAGAAAAAACAGATGGGGGAATATTGCCTTATTCTGAGACTTGCAAGTATTGCTCTATCTTTATCTTCTTGTTTCCTCCTCTGATAACATGCATATTGGTGTGTGTCATGAAGTTGCTGGGTCAGCCATATTTCCTAGCCTCACATAAGCAAAAATTTCATCTGCTCGGGATTGATATATTTTAACTCTTAGGAGATCATGGGATTTCCAACCAAATGATTTTTTTTTAAAACTGTAATTCTAAGGATAAATAATAAGGCCTAAACGTGGCTTGTGATTCTGGGTGTCTAACATGAGATGCCTTAAAGGGCCTTGTTTTATAGAGGATGACTGCTCAACACTTTCTGAAAATCAGGGCCCTTCCAAGAATTTCTATATATTATAGGTGATCATTTCCTAACTCAAGTGTTCCATCCAACACAAGGGAATTCTATCTAAGACCTCGTCTTGATCGATGAAGAATGGATCACAGAACTAAAAATTAATGGTAACATAGGTAGAAGTGATCATGACTTGATCACATTTATAACGTTCTATCAGAATAAAGTCAAAACCAGTAAAATATATATATATATATACACACACACACACTGAATGCTCTAAAGGGGCCATTTTCACAAAGCTGAAAACAATTATGAGCCAAATCAGCTGGGAGGAAAAAATTAATCAGAAAAATGTGAATTATAATTGAGAATTGTTTAACAACACTTTACTAGATACCCCAAAAGCCACAATTTCATAATCAAGGAAGTAGGTTGTACTAAGGTTAAAAAAAAAAAAAGATCTGGTTTAGAGGGGAAGTAAAGGCAGCTAAAAAAAATGAAAGAAAGGGAAGTTGACAGTAATGAATATATATCAGAATCTAGGAATTATAAAATATTGATAAGGGAAGCAAAGGGACACTAGGAGAAATCAGTGGCAAGCAGATTTAAGGACAATCAGAAGGCATTTTTAAAGTGTATTAGGAACAAAAAGAATCCCGACAGTGATATTGGTTCATTACTTCATGGAAACGACAGAATTATCAATAATAATGCAGAAAAGGCACAAATATTCAATAAATATTTCTGTTTTTTTTTTAGGAAAAAACAGATGTTGCAGTCTTAATATATAATGATGATAACACTCTTTTCAGTCCATTAGTATCTTGGGAGGATGTTAAACAGCAGCTATTAAAGTTAGACATTTTAAAATCAGCAGGTACAGATAATGGATAATTCTGTTCCTGAATGACTAACAGTGCTATATCCCAAGTATATCAGGATGTTATGATTCTTTAGAGGAAAAAGTTTTATAAGAATTGATATGGTAAATGAACCTTCTCTCTGATGCAATCTTCTGTGAGGAGCTAGAGGAGAAGGGCTTTCAAACTATCCTAATAGTTCAGGACCAGAAGTGAAGAAGATCTCTATCTAAAGCTGATTGAGCTGTTCATTGTGTACAAGCTAGCCATCACATTTAAGCAAACTATGCAACAACAACAAAAATCGGAAACTCACACATGTTTGTGGAAAAGTGAAGAAAAGGCTGGCAAATGCATAAAGTCAAAAATTATTTAGAATTCAATTAAATGTTTGCAGAAAAGTTTCAGTCATTCTTCCCATATGCAAACAAAGAGACAAGAGAGATCTAGGTACACCTCTACCCCGATATAACGCGACCCAATATAACACGAATTCGGATATAATGTGGTAAAGCAGCGTTCGGGGGGGGGGGGCGCGGAGGGGGGGCTGCGTGCTCCAGCGGATCAAAGCAAGTTCAATATAATGCGGTTTTAATCTTACCTATAATGTGGTAAGATTTTTTGGCTCCTGAGGACAGCGTTATATTGGGGTAGAGGTGTATTCAGAATATAATCGGCCTTCACACCTAATATTCCTTTTCTTGTGAAAAGTGCCATTACAATTGTAATGACAAGGATGCCATTTCTACCTCTTATCATTAAGGCTAAGATTTAGTCATGCATATTTTTAGTAAAAGTCATGGACAGGTCACAGGCAATAAACAAAAATTCATGGCCCTGTGACCTGTCCATGACTTGTAGTATATACCCCTGACTAAGTCTTTGGTGTTCTGGGGGACTTCGGGGATGCAGCTGCTGCTCTGGAGGGGAAGCTCTGGGGCACCTGCTGGTACTGGGGGGGGGGAGGGCTCCGGGGCACCCGCTGGTACTGGGGGAGCTCCAAGGTGCCTGCTGGTGATCAGGATGGGGGCTCCAGGGTGCTCATTGGTGCTCGGGGCTCTGGGGCACCTGGCTGGTGCTGGGAAGGGGATGGGGGGGGGGGCGGCATGAGACTGCCGCCATCGCTGCTGACA